ATGTCGCCGCAGAGGAAGAAGAGTTAGAATATATGGAAGAGGAAGAGGCTGAATCGGAGGAGGTGTCTGTGGAGGCCGAAGACGGGATCCCAGCTGGCAATGAGGGCAGACGGCGACGTGGCGGCCGCCGAGGACACGACGGAAATAATCCTAACGGGGCTGGACAGGTGGGCGAATCACCAGCACAACAGACTAATGAATCTGACAGCAAGGAGCGCTCACCAAATGATATCGCGGACGATGATGACACATGGCGGGCGGTGGAGAGTTGCAACCTAGACCCACTGCGAGTCAGTTCCCAACCATTCTTGGTCAGGAAACTTCCCCCGGAAGAACTGAAGTCGTACAGTCACTGCCTGACGATTCCCCTACTGCGACTCTCGAAACATCCGGGCTGCATGGGCGCGTGGAGGGTGCTGCAATTCCTGCCTCGGCTTACGCTGAGGGCGAGCACAGAGAACGTTCCGGGAAACAGCCTCGACGCAGTGAAGAAAAGACTTTGACAATTCCGAGATGAAGATTGGGGCTCACTGTACCTCCAAGCTTGCACAATCCCCGACATTTCCCAACCAAGCAGACACGAGCCTGACGCAGAAGGCATCTGCGCAAGGGTAGAGGGACTGGTCCGGAAGGCCAACCTGGCGAAAGCTGCGGCAGCGTTACGAACCACTCCGTTGGCGGAGCCGTCGCAACAGGCACTGGAAACACTCCGGGCGAAGCACCCGCGAGCGGAGGTGACGATACAGGAAGGGCTAGGGGGTTACGGCGAAACAGCACTCGCCATTGGCACAGAATCGTTCCGCGACATCCTGGCGAAGTGCCCGAACGGAATAGGAGCAGGCCCGTCAGGCACTTGCTTCGAACACCTACGGGACCCTGCTCTAACAAACGGGGAGGTATTCTTACTGCTGCACCAGATAGTTAATAACCTACTCAGCACGTACCAGGACGCGCCGCTGAGGGAGCTGCTGCTACCATCGAGGCTAATCGCACTGGAAAAACCTGACGGGGGAGTAAGGCCGATAGCGATTGGGGAGGCACTCCTTAGACTCACGGCAAAAGCGGCGCTACGGGAGCTGTCAGGGGAGATTCGCTCACACTTCCTACCAGTACAATACGGCGTGGCCGTACCGGGGGGAGCGGAGTGCATAATACACACGGCTCATACGCTGCTGGCGGAGGACCCGACGCGCACGATATTACAGCTCGATATTGAAAACGCTTTTAATTCGGTCGAACGAGGGAGTTTTCTGTCGACACTGCTTTGGACCGGCGGACTGAGCTCACTGCTGCCATTCGCTAGAACCCTCTATGGCACGCCGTCGAAACTACTACTGGACAGAGGCTTCACTGTCAGCACCATCGACAGCGCCCAGGGCGTCAGGCAAGGAGACCCGCTCGGCCCCATGCTATTCGCTGCAGCCATACAACCGGCCCTGTTGGAGGCGGCGATGGCAGTCCCGGGCGCGACAGTGATGGCGTACGCAGACGACATCACTGTCATTGGCCAGCCGGCGGCCGCGACAAGGGCGTTCAATATGATAGTCCAGGGACTCGTCGGTCTAGGGCTGCGGTGCAACCTCACCAAGGCACAGTAGCATACTGCAGGCGCACGCTTCGAGCATCGCTGGAGCGGATAGCCCTCCCGCTGAGTCTAGTCAGCAAGCTCCACCCACAACACGCGATGCTGCTCCTGTCGCGCTGCATATCGCGCAGAATCTCCTACCTCCTGCGCACTACGCCAGCGGACATTCTCCCCATCCGGGAATGGCGGGGGTGGAGCGAGAGGCTGCTGTGGACAGCACTGAGGGCGGCCCACATCAATGTACCCTCCAAGGAGCTAGAACAAAGCCTGGTGTGGAGGCAGGCGATGCTACCGATCGCGCTGGGCGGTGTGGGGCTGATAGACCCACTGTCAGAGGCACCGGCGGCATACCTGGCGTCACTAAGGGCAGCACAGATGCTGCTGCAGCAAATGCCGCCCTCGCCAAACCACCAGCTTTTGCAAGTGGCGTCGCTGGTGTCACCGCTTGGGGAGGGAGTGGCAGGAAGGGAAGGGGAAGCAATACGGGACCTGCGGAACAGACTCCCCGAGGAGGCGCGAGAGCTGCTAGGGGAGCCGGGTGTCAGCGGGGGAGGACGGGGACACCTGCAGGAGCAACTGTCGCGCCATATCAACCTGAACCGGGCAGCGGAGCTGGTGGGCGACACACGGATGGATAAGCCGGGGGAAGACAATGGACACGTGGTGCGGTTGATCAGCCTGCAGGGGGTAGGCGCAGGGGATTGGCTCCACGCCATCCCCACGCGGGCAGATCTGACGTTCTCGCCGGGTCAGTTTGCCTTGGCTCTGGGGTTCCGCTTGGGACTGGCGCTGCCGGTGACGGAAAACTGCCCGTGCCAGGGGGAGCGAGGGGAGATTGGGGACCTGAGCCTACCGAACCATCTGCTGCGGTGCGGGGAGGGGAAAGAGAGGACGAACACACACAACAACCTCGTGTATACGGCGCTCCGCATGGCCAGGAAGGCGGACTACCTTACCCTGTATGAGACCACGGTCTACTCGCAACCAATCAACCCCAAGCGAGCAGACCTGGCCATCAAGGACCGGGAGTCGGCCGAGACGTATGTGACGGACGTCACAGTGACGGACCCGGTCTTGCAGTGCCGGGACACTAGGTCAGTGAAGCCCCCGGGCTGGGCGGCGGAGGATGCGGCCAGAACCAAACGAGGACTGTACGAGGGACGGCCGGATTTTGTGGGGGTGTTTGGGCTGGCGGTGGAAACATATGGAGCCCTAGCGCGCGACACACAGAGGTTCCTCAGGCTATTAGGCAGACAAGCGGCTAAAAAGAAATTTAGGCAGGGGAGGCTTACCACTGCCGCCTCCAAACTCACAGCTCACTACCGCCAGCACTGGTCAGTAGCGCTGCAGAGGAGCCAGGCGAACGCATTCCTAGCAAAGTCTAACCGGGCCATAGAGAGTGCCTACCCACAGGCGGCGGCTGACCCATGGGAGCCCCGCCTGGGGGACCTGTGCCAAGTCATTGAAGATGACTTGGACTGGGGGCCAGCCCTGGAGGTGTGAGGGGCTGAAGTAAGGGGGCCCCGAGGCTGAGGTCCCTAGGTGCTAGGCTCACGGCAGGCCACGGCTAGCAGACCCAGCTAGCTTAGTTTTTATATGTTGATACTTGCTTGCATGAGCGCTTGCTGGCCTACATGATACCTAGACGGTATGCTAGGGGATTGCTTTGCTGTTTTATCATGTATGGCTTGTACCCCTTTATAATATTAATGAAGGACCGCTTGAGAGAGAGAGAGAGAGAGAGAGAGAGAGAGAGAGAGAGAGAGAGAGAGAGAGAGAGAGAGAGAGAGAGAGAGGGAGGGAGAAAGAGGCCACGACGACATCGCGATGAACAAGGTCGTGAGACCAAGGGATGCACATGCACCGATCTCATCGTAAGGCGACTTCCAAGTCTTCAAAAAAAAAAAAAAAAAAAAATGGGGGTGTGGGGAGGAGCGAAGGAGGTCAAAGACGAGCGACATAGTTTGCCCAGCAAAGTGTCCCACCATCTCTCGCGTCTAATCGACCCTAGAATTGTTCCTCCCCACAACCTCGGTTGCCCGCCGTTTGCAGAAGCTGAAAGCGAGTGGCAAGACGCTCACTGGGACCCATACGAGCATGCAATAACGGACAACATGGTATCCATCATGCGAAGGCGATTGCGGAACAGCCTCCATTGGTGGCTATCATGGTGCGACAGCAGTTTCATCCTTTCCATCATTGCTAAAGGGTACTGACTACCATGGAAGGGCGCGGAGCCACCCCCCTTCGAAGCCCTCAATCACGCAGGGGTTCAAGCACACATGGCTTTCACCCAAGGTGCCGTCAGCGACCTCATCGCGTCAGGAGCCACGGTACAGGTCTCGTCGAAAGCAGCACTGACATGCATTAGCCCGCTTAATGTTGTTGAGCAAAGAGACAAATGCCGTCTCATTCTTGACCTGCGGAAGGTCAACGCTCACCTCCAAGTTCCCAAGTTCATGTACGAGGGCTTGGGTCGGGTTGCGGAGATCATTCGCCCAAACGACTGGATGTTCACCATCGATCTGAATTCAGGCTACCACCATGTCGAAATCCACTCATCATGCTGGAGGTTTTTGGGCTTTCAACTGGATGGCAAGTTCTATTGCTTCACATCCTTACCCTTCGGCTTGGCAACAGCCCCGTTCGTCTTCACCCAGCTAATCAAGCAACTAGCCAAGAGATGGCGCGCGCGCGGAGTGCGCGTAATACCATACGTGGACGATCTACTATTCCTGTGCGATTCCGAGGCGCAAGCCCGTTCGACGTGCATCGAAGTTCTCCAAGACCTGAAGGTGGCGGGATTCGTGATAAATGCTAAGAAGTCAATCCTACATCCGACACACCACTTGCGCTTCTTGGGGATGGAGCTCGACACGGAACGAGGGATGTTCCTCATCGGAGAAGATCGGCGCGAGCAACTCCTGCAGGAGCTCCACCTACTCGTTAAAAACGGGCAATCGGGTCGACAAGTGCCGATTCGTAAGATAGCCCGAATCACGGGATTTCTCAGCTCCATGTCGCTCGCACTAGGTACTACGGCGCGTGCCTTCATCCATGAGCTGCTGCACTTGATCGACTCCGCGTGGTCATGGAACGCGAAGGTTAAATTGTCACCAGGAGCGACGGAGGAGTTGGTGTTTTGGACAGTCCACTTCGATCGGTTCAATGGTGCCCCATTCCACCAGAGCCAACGGTTTGATGCCGTGATCCACGTCGACGCAAGCGCACACAGCTGGGGGGCCACCTTGGCCAAGTTCCCAAGTGCATCATGCGAAACTAGCGAATGCATGCCACGCGAGCTCCTCCTCACATCCAGTACGCGACAGGAGCTCGAGGGAGTGCTATGGGCACTGCAGACGTTCGCAACACAAATTGCAGGTGCTCACGTCCTCGTCCGGGTGGACAACCAGGC